TAAATTGTAGACCAATTTTTAAAATTTAAAATAAAAATTAAAGCTTAGTTATAATTATGCAGATGAGTTCAATCTACAGATGTGGTAGTTCAATTTGTTCTGTATCCGAAGCTAAAAGTAATTTAAGTAGACTACCACGAAACGAGCAGTCATCATCAGTAGACATAGAGGATTTACAACGACGCTTGGAGTTATCATTCTGTGATAAATTTCAAAAACTTATGGACTACAAAAGCGCAGGCATAAAATTCAAGCAACCAGCTACTAGATCTTTCCTCAATTCTTCGCCTTGATGATCAACCCGGTTTCAAAATTCGCGATGGCCATCACAGTAAGAAGTCTTAAGTTGTTATCAAATAGTCAATTCAAGTATAATAATATAAACTTTAGAGTTAATGTACCTTCATGCATAGCTGATGACCTAATTGGCATATAAGGTGCAGTTATTCAATATTTTAAGGATTGTGGCTCGATTGGGAGTAATGTTAGCAATGAAAACACCAGTACTTTAAAGCACTCTAATTTGAAATCAATACTTACTAAACCACTTATAAAAAGAAAAAAAAGCAGGTTTGTTTGCAAAATTTTAATAATATGGACAGTTCATCACACACTGATTCACATCTTACGTCTCGCATAAATTTAGCGACTTGCATCTTAAAGCTAAATTTTTTCTAAAGCGAAATAAACTGTTAAGCACATATAACAAATATGGAAATAAAATAAACAAATTGGAGAGAAATACAACCATATTAAGGAAGGCATTCTTATATCAAATCTCAGTTCTCTCAGTGATGATAAAATATTGAATTGCTAAAAGAAAAATATAATTCTAGAATACCAAAGCTTTTTCTTTCTTTTCCTTACTTACAATTCCAAAACATTTCTTTTTGTTAGCCAGTAAGCAATAAAACACCCTTCGATAATTACGTGGAAAATATTTATATTAAATACTAAACAAATTACACTCAAGACTTTTTAGCGAGACAGTTTCTCACGAGTGCAATGTTGCCATCCAAAACTTTTAATTCCGTTTTAAAGAATTTCATAAAAGAAAAAGTCACACAAAAACAAAAGAACGGAAAAAAAGGGAGGTGAAAACGGAAAAATTAAATTTATATTTTTCACAAATTTCTTTTTGGTATGCGCTAGCTTAGCGTTGACGTAGAAATTTTAATTTAATAGCACTAAATCAGTTCATTTTTTATTGATTGTTCATTTTTTATAAACAGAATCAATGATTCATAGCGTGCGCAATCTCATAGTGTTTCAATTTTTTTTTTCAAATTTAGAAATAAAAAAAAAATTTTTTTTATTATATTTTTTTTTTCTCTCCAAATTTAATTTTTATCAAGAAATATTTTCGCATGTTTGATTCATTTGTTTGTTTGTTTTGTAGAAAATATGTATGAAACAATATTTTTAATGTTTTGGGAAAAGTTCTAAGGAAAATTATTAGTGATCTAAAATAAATGAGTTGATCATTAAATTAAAAATGAGTTGATCATTTTGGTTTCGTCATTAACAGTTAGTTCGTCATAATTTTTTTATGATTTTTGAAAATATTTAGTATTTGTTTAAATTAGGGACATTATAAGAAAAGCGGTATAAACCGGCCGTCACAAATTTTTATGTGTTATGGCCAAATATGTACTATGTAAGTATGCGTATGGCCACTCGAGTTTCTGCACATTTTAAACTAACTTTATTTGATTGTTTTGTGACAAACTTTCAACTTTCAAATTTCAAGTATTTTACATTAACGGACAAACGAAATTAAACTTACAAGTACATTTATTTCTAAATTTTTTTTGATAATGTGCTCAAAAAATATAAAATATTTGTAAACAGCTGTGTAATTAATGATTTTCTTTCAATTGAATTATTAATTTTTAATAAAAGAAAACATGTAACAAGCATTTTCCACACCTTAGGCATTTGCGAATATTTGTAGATATTTGTAGATATTTGTAGATATATATGTATATGTATGTATGTAAACTTGGGATCGTTATTGTAAATGTTATTTTAAATACACCTACTCTGAAAATTTAATTAAAAAATGTTGACCATTCGAAAGTGTTTAATTTAAAATGCATAGAAGGCATACAACAAATACCAAATATTCTCTTCTAGCCTTTTCTCTTTTAGCTTTATATAAATTTGAGTAGCAAACATATTTGTTCTCTATGTGGACTTTACAATTTGAATTTTCTTTATTTTATATTTGATTTACCTGTAAACTAGTACCTGTCGTTCTCTAAAATTAAAAATAGAATAAGAAAAAAAGAGTCAAATTCACTTAAAAAAGAATATTTATTTAAAGAACGCACACGCTCGTTGTAAAATATTTGATAAATTGCAAAAAAAACAATAAGAGTGTAGATAACCTAGTTTTTCTTTTTTTTTTTAAATTATATTCTTTGTTTTTTTAAAGAATTTGTTTGTCATCGTTGAAAATGAACAATTCAAAGCCTTATTTGTATAAATTTTTTTTTACTTTTTTGAGCTGCAGTCAGTTTTACAAGTATTTCTTTCTACATTTAGACTAAAGAAATAGTTCTTTTAGTTATCACTAGGTTTTAACAATAATTTGCTTTTATTAAATTTTTATGTGAATATTAAAATAAAATTTTGTATGAATATTGGAGTACTAATATTTGGCCAAACATTTGGTTGAAAAATATTTGCGAGCCGAATTAAGAATTTGAATAATATAGAATTATAGATGCACATATCTATATATAAATAAACGTTTTCGAGTACACAAAATTATAAATGCAAATAAGTTTATTTAACATCACGGAAAAAAAAAATTTGAAATGCTTCAGGATGCTTTGGTAGCTAATAGTCTCATATCCTTTTTAGCACTTTTCCAAAAATTTTTTGAAAAAAAGTGCTTATTAGTTTCACTCTGTCCGTCCGTCCGTCCGTGGACACTTTTTTGTTTACGAAACTTCTACACCCTTGAAGATAGAAAGCTGAAATTTAATACGCATATAGATCTTTACTAGAAACTTATTTCCGTAGAACAAAATTTTTACCTATCTCCCCCCCTCTAGAAGTTATACCCCCCCAAAACCCTAAAAATGGCCTTTTTCAACTATTTGTTGCAATGAAACCATAAGCATTTTTGAAATTTTGCAAACGCATAAAGGCAGCGGCTTGCTTCCCCTAGCGCGGTATACTATAGTTAAACTTTAGAAAAACAAAATGGCCGTTCAAATTTACCGTTATCTAAAGTCTTTTTTTTTCCAAATTTTTGATTTCGTTTTTCTTCTAGACCCCAGGCTGTAGAAGCTTGAAATTTTAGGGACTTTTAGACACTAAAAAATAGTTCATTTCGTTAGAAGAAAATTTTTTTCCATCTCCACCCCCTCTCAAGTTATCGCCTCTTGAAATTTATAAATTTTGAATTTTTGACACCTTATATTTCCGAAACGGCAAGCTTTTTTAAATTTCTATAAACGCAAAAAGCTAACGGTAAATTCCATGACATTAAAAAATATAATTATTTTTCTTAACTCACACAATTAAATCTTGAAATGGAGCATTATGTTAACCCCACTTTATATTAATTTTTGCTTTATTTCAAAGACTGTATGTATGCATCATCCTAAATATATGCAATGCTAAAAATAATTTTGTATATGAATGAAAATAATTTTAATAGTGTGATAGGTATATAGCAGAATTTTCACTTGTTCAAGGGAAAAGTGCTACAATACAAACCATTGGTTTGACCCAACTTTATTTACTATCACTTTATTTGTCAATGTCACTCGTTCTTTACAGAACTGATTTTAATTTTAACTTTCATGAGTTCATTCAGTTTAAGAATTCAAATAAAATTTTTATAGAGCACAAACATAAATTTGTAGATGTAAGCCAACCTATTCAAGTCAGAAAACAATAATTTACATTTATGAGATAACATGCAGGAAAAAGAAGCTTTGATAAAATGCGTGTGTTGAGCACGAAATATTATTTTAGATGTTAAATAATCAATTCACTTTGGAACTAAAAAATTGAAGGAAGCATTTTCGAATTCGACCTAAATATTATCCTAAATTTAATGCGTTACCTAAATTTAATCCGTTTTATTCTAAATAAAATGCAAAGTGGTGTGAACAGCATCTGAACACTAAGAAGTTGTATACAATATGAACGATCATTATAAAAATTGTTGTCAAACAAATTATATTGTATGATTGCGTTTGATTCGAAAAATCCTTTTAAACTACGTAGCACTAAGGTTGTATACGTAGATTCTAACGTTGTATGTTTAAAAGATTTATATTTAACCAAAAATGTCATTGACCTATCACAATATCAGCAGACACAAGAATTTTTTAGTCGAAAATATTCTATAATTTTATTCACTTTTCTTTAACTGCTATTCAATGATCTAAAAATAAATCAAAATGTTGATATTTTTTATAATTTCAATCACACGAAATCAAAAATAAAACTTTTAAATTTCCTATTCTCTATATTATTGTTTATTTTTATTAAATCTAGGTTAATGAAATGGCATCAAACGTCCTTCGAATGTAACTATAGCACTCTACACTAAAAATGCAATATTATGAAGGAAAATCATTTCTAGGTCAAATTATAATGAAATACACTTTTAGAAGGATAGAAAGGATACGAAAGTTTTATTACTATAGGAAGTAACAATGAAATGTTATTTATATAAATAAGTCAATTTTCACCACCCCCACCTTGAGAAAAATGAATTCCTTTGGAAAAAATTCATATAATACAGAAAGTACACAACTTAGTTACCAAAAAGAGTTGGCAACCCAAATTTTTGTTTAATCGATTTAATTTTCCAAAACTAAACAGGAAATACCATCGTACTGATAACAACTAAATATGAAAAATTTCTTAATTTTTTTATGAAAATATTATAAAAGTTTGAAAACTTTTTAAAAAATTAAAGAATTTTAAATAAAATAAATTAATTAAGTTATAAGAATAATAAAAAATTTAAAATGGGAAATACTGAAAGTAATGTTACCAGTGGTGTTAAGAAACAAGCAGGAGTTTCAACTCAATCACTTTATAAATTAGTAAATTTAAAAGGTGGTGGCTTACTTGTAGATATGATGAAAAGAGCTTGTCAGAGTAAACAATATGCTGAAATTGATCATGCAATTAAAACAAAAGTTGAACCATATTTATATAATAAAGGAGCTGGTAAATATATTCCAATATCAAAATTTGTTTTAGTTCGGAATAAAGAACGTGCTCGAACAAAACAACTTCCTGAAATCAGAGCAATGGATAATCCAGATGATGATTTTAATATTGATGAACATACGCCAGAAGTATCTGAAGAAGAATACATGAATAACCCACACAAATACAAAGTTGTTGTTTGGAATTTAAATGTAAGAAGAGTGCTGTGATTTTGTGACATTTTATATTAATGTTTTTTTGTTCGTTGAAGGAAAGAGGAGCTGTAGGTGAAACAATCTTACATTTATGCTTACTGAACGCAACATCTTTGCATGCTGATTTAGCTAAAAGACTGCTACGATTTTATCCAAAATTAATTTTAGATGTTTATATGAGTGACGAATATTATGGAGAAAGTGTTTTACATATTGCAATTGTAAATGAAGATCCAGCTATGGTTAAATTTCTATTAGATGCTGGTGCCGATGTTAATCAACGGTCTGTAAATAACAAACTTTGATTCAATTGAATGATTAAATAAATTTTTATTTTATTTCTGTTCATTTTAGTTGTTGTGGTGCTTTTATGAGCCCTGAAGATCAAAAACCATCAAGATATGATTCTCCGGAACATGAACATGTTGGTGTTACTCCGATTTCAAATTATGAAGGTTATGTTTATTGGGGTGAATATCCATTAAGTTTTGCTGCATGTCTCAGTCAAGAAGAATGTTATCGTTTAGTATTAGCAAAAGGTGCTGATCCTGATTTACAAGATACAAATGGTAACACTGTTTTACATATGATGGTTATTTATGAAAAGATAAATATGTTTGATATGGCATATGAAGTTGGTTCAGCACTTCATATTAGAAATGTACAAAATTTAACACCATTAACATTGTCGGCGAAAATTGGCCGAGTTGAAATTTTTTTTCATATAATGAATATTGATCGTGAAATTTATTGGCAATTAGGTAGTATTACATGTGCAGCATATCCGTTATCTCAAATTGATACAATTGATGTAGAAACGGGGAATATTAGTAAAGATTCAGCATTAAATTTAGTTGTTTTTGGGGTAAGATAATGTTGGGGGTAAGAATGTAGTTAAAAAATAAAATATTTTTTTTAACTTTTATAGGATAAATATGAGCATTTAGAGCTATTAGATGGTGTAATGATTGATTTGTTAAAAACAAAATGGGAAAGTTTTGTGAAGTCACGGTTTTATCGTCAATTCTATTTATTTTTTGTTTATTTTATGATATCATTGGTTAGTTTTACTTTAAGACCTGGTCCAGCAGCAAAAGATGATGATGATAACGAAGTAGGGAATAATGCAACAAGCAGTAGTCCTGAAGAAGTTAATCAATTTGTTGTAGAACTAGTTCAACCAAGTTGTGGTAAAAATTGTGCAGATGGTTTAAAATTAGAAAAACTTAATTCTCCAATCGCTGGTACAAGGGGTTTTTTTACATCTTACAATAATGATTACGGTAAAAGAATAAGTATTTTGTATAATATCAGAATATTTTTAATATTTTGTGTATTTTAGATGCCTATTGGATTAATGAAACTGATCTAGAAAATAATAAGCCGGATGTTACATATTTTGCTTGGTGGTTTAGTTCATTCAGTGAATGTCCTCTCTTAAATATTGAAACATTGGAATCAAAAGTAAAAACTATAGAAACTACTTTGAACGCAATAATACTAAAAATTGTATTTAATTTTAGATTCGATTAATATCGGAGTTCTTTTTGTTCATAGGAGCTATTTTATATATAGCAGCAGCATTGAGAGAATCTAGATTCTTAGGATATAAAATGTTTTTCCAAAATTTAGTAAATTTTTAACTTACTTTTTGTGTTCTAAGGCATTAATTTGCAATTAATTTTTATAAATTTTTTAGATGACTGCCCCTTCTCGCGTTATGTTTTTATTTTCTTGTTTGTTAATGATGATAGTTCCTTGGTTAAGATTTTCATGCCTAACTGAAATTGAGGATTATGTAGCAGTTGTCATAATGTTAACTACAGCACCATATTTTCTTTTCTTTTGCAGGTCTCTGTCTCTTATAAAACTAGAACTTATTATAACTAATAATGATTTTATATTTTCTAATTTTAGAGGTTTCAAAACAGTGGGACCATTCGTAGTGATGATTTATCGTATGGTAATGGGAGATCTTTTACGTTTTGTTGCCATTTATTTTGTTTTTGTAATGGGATTTTCACAAGCATTTTATATTGTATTTTTAACATTTGATTATCCAGAATCTGATGATTCAGATGATGAAGAAGTTAACCCTGTACCATCACCAATGGAAGCAATTGTTGCAATGTTTTTAATGTCACTAACAAATTTTGGTGATTATTATCAGGCTATGGTATCAACAAGACATGAAATGGAAGCAAAAATTTTATTTGTTGTATTTATGGTTATTGTTGGTGTATTATTAGTTAACATGTTAATTGCTATGATGGGTAATACATATCAAAAAATTGCTGAAACTCGAAATGAATGGCAAAGACAATGGGCAAGAATTGTACTTGTAGTTGAAAGAGGTGTTGCACCAGCAGAAAGATTAAAAAATTTCGTAAATTATACACAACCAATGTCAGATGGTAGAAGAGCTTTAGTATTAAGATTGAATATGACAGATAGTGATAAAGAAGAAATGAAAGAAATTTTAGAAATGAAAAGAGTACATGATCGTTTATCGAAGAAGAGGCAAGCTGAAAGAGATGCAAGAGCTGCGAAAAGGCAATTAGAATATGATGAATTCTTTAAAAATAATGTTAAACAGAAAAAGAAAGTTTATTAAGTCTCATGTTTTTCAGCCTAAAGTTAACTTGTTGCGATTCAGTTTTGACTATGATAAAATTTACAAAAATAATGAAATGTTTTGTTGTTGTTGTTAGCATTTAAATTTAAAATAAAAGCAAAAAATTTTTCTTTTTATAAAATAAATTTTTTGATTGGAAACTATTGTAAAGAAGATGATAAGGTTTAACTCTTTGTGCTATTTTGTAATGTTCTACAATTAAATTATTGTTGCAGGATACAATCTTAATCCTTAAGTAGCTTTCTGAATATAAAAGTAAAAGAATTTTCTGTATATTATTAAAAATTAAAAGTAGTATGAGACTTTGTAGGTCCAAAAATAAAAGCTACGTGCAAAACCAAATTCCAAACTAATTTTTGTAGTTTCTAAAATTTAATAAATTTTTCTTAATTCACGCAACGACCCAAATTGAATTTTTTATTTCTTGGACGAGTATATTCAATAAAATTGATCAAAATTGTTGAAAATCGTTTCAGGTACTTTAATTTAATAGAAATTTAAGTAGCATATTAATAGAAAATATTTTTATTTTATTTGGCCCCTAATCTAAAATATATAAATTTTGCTTCTAGGAGAGAAATATTTCAAAATCTTTCAATTTCGCTAAATCTATTTTGCTAGAATTCAAACGTGGAACTTAAAGAGCATATACTCTAAGAATTAAACCGAAACGAAAATTATCAATGTTGTTAATCATTTTGTCATTACGATTTTTAAATCGTCAAGCATATCACATTTTTCAACCCTTATAAACACTGATTCACATCACGGTTTATAAGGGTTTAAAACAATTAAATATTAAAAGCAGAAATAAAACCATTTTGTTTTTTTTTAATTTATAAGTATTTATTTTTATAATGTATCTTTTATTTTAATTAATAAAAAATACTTTTTGTATCGGTCTTTAATTATTAAATGTCACATGTATGTATGTATGTATGTAAAGAATTTTTTCTAATGTATGAATTTTTTATTATCTCCGAATGTTTTTATTAAAAATGTTATAGAATTTAATTTAATATTATTTTTATTTTTATTTTATATTAAACAATTCTTTATATATGAACGAATATTATAATATTATATTTTAACATTAATAATTATTTATATTCAATATTACAACTAACATGTTATTAAATTTATAATCTTAATAAAATTATATATTTTCATTTTTTTTTCGCTATTAATACATTATATATATATATATAATATTTATTTTTATATAATATGTATTTTCTAAAACAAAATAATAACACATATTTTTCAACATATTTATATAAGGATATTTTATGTTAATTAATTAAAAATTTTTATGTTCCTTTAATTATAAAGTATATATATAATTAAAAATGCAAATAAATAACAACTTTTAATTCTTTTTTAAAATTCATTTTTCTTTTAATAATTTCGTAAATAGATAGTTCAGTTAAATTTCTGGCGTAAAAAATAATGAAAATTTTAACACTGCTATTAATCATATTTATTATAAGGCTTAGTAATTGAAAAAAATTTAGTTTGAATTACCTTTTAACAATTCAGGAGAATTTTTTAAATTAAATAAAAAACTTCACTATAAATTTATTAATAGCTTCATTTTTAAATATTTTAAGTCTTTGCACAAATATTCTAAGTATATGCTATATTTTTGATTGAGAATCATTAATTTTTGTCACAAAGTTGTGCTACGATTTCGTTATTTCGTTATAAAATTAGTTTTCAATGAAATCGCAAAAGGATATTTGTTTAATTTTGTAATAATATGATGTGTGCATAATTATATTACTAATTAAGAACTAAGGTTCCCATTCCTTCTTATTTTACGCCATCAATTTTATTTAACAAAAAATAATTATAACTCTACTTGTTTGCGTTCAATCGGAATATTTTAAAAGATTTTATGATGTGCTACAAAATACTTATTTAAAATTATTACTTTTAACATTTTTGAAAATTTAAAATTCATAAATAACAAACGTAATTATTTGCAATAAAATTTGATTATATATTTTTAATATGGTGATTTATTATTTTAACGTTTATTCTAGTACATTTAAAAAATTTGTGTTTCCTTTTTTCTTTGTCATTTTAAAAACCAATGTGTTGTATATCTAAAGCTAAATCTAGAAAAAAAACCATTTCAATATTTATCTAAATATATGACATAAATTTTATAGTATTACAATAAATTTTACTAAATAGCATATTTCATTTCTGTATACATAGAAAATTGAGTTAGATGAATCTTTAAAACATGGATTATTTTTTTGTATTTGAAATTTTAATTTTAAAAATTTTTATAAAATTTGAATTTTTTTTTATGATTTATAATAAAACTTCCTGTTCTTTTTTTTTTTTCTTTTCCATTTCCATGGGCAGTATTTGCAATTATTTAGAATATACTTAAGGAAATATTTCATTTGAATATTTAATTAAAATTTTTATTTGGAAAATGCAATTTGAGATTATGAAAATTTTATCAAGGTATAAAATTTTTTTACCTGAGTTTTTGAACATGAAGATTTTATTTTGTAAATATTTAATTAATTATTTTACCAACTATTTATGTAGATTTAATTACACAAATATTTTCAGAGGAAAATTTCAAAAATTCAATTAAATCTCATTCATTTAAATTTTTAATTTCTTATTTTAATTCTGATAATTTTTATGAATTTTTACTTTTATTAAGCGTAATAATTGTGGTTGTATCTTCTTTTGTTTTTAATATTTTAGAATTTATTCAATTCAGATTTAAAAAACAAAATCCATAAACTGAAAGTATCTATACACTATGCTTTTATAATATTATTTAAGTATAAAATTGGAATGGTTTTGTAATCGAATGCATAAAATTAAAAAAAATGTATGCGATTTAAATATTATACAGTAGGTTAAATTAGTTTTGATTAAAATAAAATTTGATTACTATATATTTTATAAATAATTATAATTATGTTATATAAAATGAAAAAGAAATAAAATAATAATTATTAAAAAAAAAAAAATAAAAATCATAATTAAAAAAATATTTTAAAATATATTTTTATTATTGTTTTTATTATTGTTTTTATAAATAATACAAAATTCTTAATATAAAATTAAAGCATATAAAAATGAAAATATAAAAAATAAGTGTTAATTCTTAAAATATTTAAGTTCAAAATAATTAAAATTCGTTTATAAATAATATACCAAATCATAGCTTTTATTTTATAAAATTTAATACATGAAATTTAATTTAATTGAACAAAATATAAGGATATTGCTAAGCTTATTGAATTTTCAATAATTTTAAATAATATAAATTTTACAAACTCATTTGTCTAGCTATGATTTGGCAGGAATTAAACATCAAACCTTTTTTTTTATTATATTAAAAACTTGTATGGAATGAATTTTTCTTTTTCTTTCACTTAAAAATTTGAAAATACAAAAATACAAAAAAATAAAAATTTAATAAAATTAATAATTAAAGTTAAATAAAATAAGTTTTTTTATTAACAGTTATAATATAAATTCCTTATAAATTAATTATTTAAACAATTTTATATGTTTTAAAGAAATTAATAAAAAAATAAAATATTTATCATTGTATTTTACAAAAAAAATTGTAAAGATGACTATATTTTAGTATATTATAAAATAATTCGTTTTGTTCTCAAAGAATTTAAAAATTAAAATCTTTAATTGGAATAAATTAAAAATTATAATATAAAAAATTAAATTTGATCATATATTATTAAAATTAATATAATAAGGACTAAATTAGATAATTAACATAAATTTTTTTCAATAAAAATAATTTAATAAATTAAAAATTGGCAATGATTTTAATGAGGAAAAGTAAAAAAAATTATTAAATTTAAAAATAAAATTCAAGAAAATTTTAATAAATTCAGCTAATCTACAAAATTTTTTTTTTAAATTCCTTTAAAGATAATTATACATTTAATGATGAATATTCTTTCTTTAATGTTTTTTTTCTTTGTTTTCTTTCATAACAAATCAAAAAATATCTTATTTAATAAAATTTTATAATATTATATAAAAGTACATCGAGTTATAAATCTACATTATTTTTGTTTCTATAATAAACCGCGTTTCATTCTTATACTTTTTCATATAGTCTTTTATTTTATTTCCGTGTTCTATTTTCTATTTAATTTCTAATATAATTAATTAATACACAATTTTATTTTTAAATCTATTCATAATAAGATATTTTTTCTTCTTTTTTTTTCTTTAATAATTACAAATAATTAAAAACAATAAGTAAAAATAATATTTATTAGAACTAAAAAATTTTAAATAATTTTTTTTATTTCAAATTCGCTTAAAGCATTTAATTAGTGAATATAATTCAGATTGCAAGATTATCTTTTTATATATAAGTAAAATATAATTGTGAAAAGTTTTTTTAAATAATATTTAAAATTTTAGAAAAACGGAGTGAATTCTACAAAAGAATTAATTCTTAACTAAAATATTGTGGAAATCTTTAATTTTTATTATTTGAAAAATTTTACAGACAAAATTCAAAAGATTTATATTTGTTTTATACAGAATAGGTCATTTATGTTGGAACTGAGTAAGATAAATTTTGAATTCTATTGAATTCTTTAAGAAATTACAAAATATATTATTGACTATAAATAACCTATAACTTCGCTTCAAAATCTTTAACTTGATTTTTCAATGATTTTCACTTTCCCATTGAATTTCTTGTATTGTTTTTCCTTTCCAATGGAAATTCAATGTAAAAAACTTTAAAAAAGAATATTAAAATTTTATTTAATAATAACAATAAAAAAGAGTGAATTTGGTAAGCCGAAAACATTTACAACATAAATTAAACATACAAAATAAAAAAAAATTAAAAATATTTTATAAATTCAAATTTATTTTCAAAATAAAAGTAGTTATGGCAAAATATTTAGTAAAAAAATTTATTAAAATTTAAAATAAATAAAAATATTGAATTATTCAAAAAAGCTCAAAAGAATATTACAAAAAAAAAAAAGAATAATTTAAATAAATTATAAAAAAAAAATTAACATCTTTTACAAATTAACAACACTTTGCACCTTAGAACATGAACAATTATTTGAATATTCTAAGAGAATACTATTTAATTAATACAATCATTTTCATTGATTTCATATTTTCAATTGCTTAAATTTTGATTTATCAAAATTTAAAAAAAAAAATCATTATATGAGTATAATGTACGTATATAATATTGTTCAATTCCCTTTTTATATTGAATACAATTAGATTGACTATTATTGTTTTCTATTATGATTTTACTCGATTAATTGAACATAATTTGCTGGAAATAAACCGCACATTCCATCGGGACCCATTCCATACCACCATCCTTCATCAATTTGATCTATACGTGTTATAATATCGCCTGGATCAAATGTTATTTCAGTTTCGTCAGCTAAAAAATAAAAAAAGTATAGAATTAGGTCACCAGTAAGAGTTTAACAGGTTTAAGAAAAAAAAAAAACGTTGTCCAATAATACCTGCTTGATAATCATATAAAGCATAAGCTTTTAATCCCTCATCTATGAATTCATTTTCATTATTCACATTGTTTTCTATTTAAAAAGAGAAAATAATTTTTATTTTAATAATTTATTTTTGAATATCATGTATTAAAAATCATGATTGCTTGATTCACCTTGTTGATTAACAATTCCATTTCCATTTGTTATATAAACTTCTTGATTTTGACCCAAATTATCAACAATTTCTTTTGGTGATTTATTGTCTTCATTTGTTGGTGATGTTACCGAATTTGTTTTACTATGTGGCGAACGTTTTATTGTCGAAAATTGATCTTCATTTTCATATTCATCTGAATTAACAGTAGCAGCTATTGTTGATGGTGATAATGATTCTGATTGTTGTTCTTGTGATGGTGATATTTTATTATTGATTTCTATTTCTTGTTCATATTCATCATTATTTTGTTCTTCTTTAACAATTTCCCGTTGTATTTTAATTGGTGATCTTATTTCCGGTGATCCACTTTCATTTTGTGATGAATTATTCAATTGATTTATACGTTGAGCTATAGAATTGCGAACTGGTTTTATTGGAGCATTTCTAAAACAAGATAAAATAAAAAAAAAAAATAGTAGATAAAGATAAAAATATCAAATTATAATTTATAAAAAGAAACTATTACTTATTTTGTATTTGTCCATCTGTTGAATTTTGTGTGAATATTGCTTTTGCATTTCCTACAGTACTTCCAATTAATTCTCTAGCTTCTTGACTTCTCAATTGACGCATACGTTCAGCTTCTGTAATTGTTCTTGTTGGACTTGGCATTGACTTGTCTGGGCTCAATGGTTGTGGTGAACTAAATACATTTTTTTGTTTAGCTTTATAAATTAATTAAAAATTATTGTGAAAAATTTAATATTACGTTTTAATTGGACTATAAGCTGGTTGCAATTTATTTCCATTTGTTATTTGCATTTCACGTAGTCTATGTTCTTTTTCTTCACGTTGGCGTTGCTCCTGTAGATATGCAAAATTCAATTAAATTTTTTTTTTCTTAATTCATTTTTATTTTGGAATGGCAATACTAACCTCTTCTAATTTCATCAATTCTTCATGCTTTCGTTGTCTTTCTAATTCTATACGTCTTTTTTCTTCTTCTTCTTCTTTCTTCCAGAAATTGTGCATTTCTTCTGGATTTAATTCTTTAGCTGGTATAACTCTTGAATAGTTTGTACCAATTGGAGTCTTCTGTTCTTCATGCACCATTCTTGGTTCCTTAAAACTATACGCTGAACTTACTGTACTTAATTTCTTTTGTATACGTTCTAAATCAATATCATCTTCATTACGTGCATTTATAGTTAAATGATGACCGGTAAAAAAATTACTAACATCATGAATATGATTGGCACAAGTTCCTTTACGTACGACTGGTGCACCCTCACCCTAAAATTGAAAGAGAAATAAATTAATTTTCTGTTATATATGTATGTAATCGGAATAATCAATATTTTTTTCGAGCATTAATAATATTGCCCATGGGTTTACTTATGTAATAAAATATTAAATTTAAAAAGTATAGTTAGTAAAGAAAATATAGAAAAAAAATTTTTTTTATTTACTTACTGTACAAATTTGTGAATAAATAAAAATTTATTTAGTGCATACGAGCACAAAGTCATTTACTTGTGTGCTTATATTTTTAGTAGATAAGATTAGATAAGATTAAATTTTAAAAATTTGAGATGAAAAACATGGAAAGAAAGTAAGAATGCGGGGATTTCTAAACTTTATGCTGAAGCAGCTGCTGCATGAACTGCTCTAATTTTCACTTGACTTTTATTAGAATCATTTAAAATAAAATCAAAAATTTTTCATTATAATTCTTTTCTGAAAATTGTTTACCAAAATAGTGGTTTGGATTAAATCTCCAAAATAATAGGTTTTTTAATAAATACAAATGTAGTTTAATTAATTTGCAGTTTCAGAATGTGTAAAAAGTCTTGTGGAACATGAAAAAATTATCAGAACTTTAGGAGTTTAACTGGCGTTATATGACCTTATTTTAGAGTAAAACCGTATTTCCTATCTAGATTTTTATATAATAATTATTTAATATCAAAAGGATGATCTGAACCATAGTCGTAATATAGGTTATAAAATAAAGTACAATTTAGATCAGTTTAGAAACAGTTCAAGCGAAAGTTGTTGAATTTTTAAAAATTTTGATTTTGTTTTTAAATATGTGCAACCAAATAGCAAAATTCCAACTTCTCTAGCTTCTCTTATCTTGTAAATTGAATTTTTCTGTAATAATTATTTTTTAATAGGTTTTAATTCATCTTTTCAGCTTATCGATTTTAAATTAAATATTTTAGTAAAAATTTTATACCAAAAGTAAATAAAGAGAGAGAAAAGTAAAAACATGTCTTTTTTTAGTTTCAACAAGTCATCAGTTCATTAAATTATTTGAAAATGTCCTTCCAAGAAATAATTTCATTATAAACCCTTCTCTCTGTTACTTACAGTCTACAACACAATTAATTAAATCAGTAAAGTTTCAAACTGTATGTTTGTATGTATCTATACATGTATATTTAAATATTTTACCAACACAGGCTACCAAATCGATTCAATTATTACAGGAAAATTCAAAAAAATATTCCAGGATGAAAATGGAAACTTTTTTCTTTTAAATTTCAAAATAATTAAACAGTGATAAAAAGTAACCCTAAAGCGTTTCTTTTCTCGTTTTTTTTTATCATTTTCCTTTTAATCTTTCAATTAACATGAAATTTCGATAAAAAAAAAATTGTCCTAAAATATCAACCCTAAACCCCTTTTAACTTGAAGACAGTCACATACACTCGCATAATTTTATTTAAAAGTAAGGCCTGGTAGAGCACTCATACTCCCATACTTTAAAAATTTATCTGCGTATTTACATAAGATTTTGTTCATATAAGAATTGAATTTAATGTTTTCAGCACATCACAGCACATATTTTTATTGCGACTCATTCGGTCCCTTATCGTTATTATCTTATAAGTATAAATGACTCTTTAAACAAATTATTTGCGATTTTTATCTTTTTTTTATCTAAAATTAAAATAATAAACATGTAAATAAAAAATAATAATATAAAAAGTGCTACCATCGTCGTCGCATCGTGTAATTTTGTGGAAAAACTTTTATTTTTTTACACCACAAAAATTTTTTGCTAATTCTTTTTTTTTATTTGTCATCTCTTTAGTACATGTTTATTTACTTTGCTCTTTATGTATTCTTACTTATACACAATCTAATTCTTTGTATTTAAATTCTTTAGACATTCAACGGTAAACACTAATATTTTAAGGTAATTATTTAAAAGAGGTTAAGGTTAACGTTTATTTGCATGTGACTTTAACCATATCTAACACATTTCTTTACCACAAAAATTTTCAACACAAAAAAGAGAAGAAGAGAATTAAAAACGTACATGTACATATGTACGTGTAAAAATGATAATTTTAAATAATGACACAACATTTCTTTGAGCTATAAGAATGTTTTTTGAATGGAAATAATGACATATGTCAAATAAAATAAAGACTTGAAGAGTATTAAAATCTTCAAAATCAATTAATTCCATTCCGCAATGTTCTATTACAATATAGTTGCTATAAGATGTACAAAGCTAAAATAAATTTTCTGTGCAAAAATATTTAGTACGAATTTGAGAAAATTTTATTACTGTTCAAAATTTGAATAATACGCTGCCGATAGTGCTGAGACTTCAAACGTTGTTCATGGATTTTGATTGATCTAAAGAAATTTGGATCTGCTGGAAAGATGAATGAAAAAAGTAGAAGGCCATCCAATTAAAAAAAAAACAAGGAACAATGTTTGGTGTGTAAACGCTGACTAACCCTTATATTATAGCACTTAGTATTAATTGAAGAATATTCTGCAATTACAAACAAATTTATTTTATAGAAATTGTGATTTATTTAAATAAAATAAAAATTCTAATAATAGAATTTGTAACAAATTTTAATTGTATAAAAACTCTCCACTTTGACATATGTACCTCGCAGTTTCTCCAATTTGTTTTTAATCATCCTTCACATTAACTAGAACATCTAAGATTGCCATGTTTTATCATAAAACAAAATATGTAGAATAAACTTTAAGATTAGTGGTGTAAAACTAAATTAGAAATATTTCTAGAAGAATCCTTATGTTCTTAATGGCACTAATATACTAGAAAATATACTAAAAAAAATAAAAAAAAAATACTTCAGCATAGTTTTGTGAAAAATATTTTGGTATTTTTGACACAATTTTTTTTTTGTTTTGTCATTCATAAAAGATATTCAGGGCAGTTAATTCTTTCATCTGTAAGAATATACTGTTATATTCAATGGAAAATTAGCAAAAACTAGTAAAACAAATTTTATGTGATTTTAGTTTATTACAAAAATTTGGTTATGTAAAACATTTTACTAATTATCAACTTCTATATGACAAGTTGTCTCGTATAGTTTTACTAGGTTCGTCACCTACCCAGTAAAACTCTATTGATGCAAGAAACTGGTTTATTGTAACTACCGTATCATGAACCAGCTCTATGCTCCGGCCAGGAGCAGGCTGATTCATATGTCATACATAAATTGATTAATCTGTCAAATTTCTAAAGATTTGAAATCAGTGCGAATAGCATCAGGGCTGCTCAAATAGAAGAGAGAGGAGTATAATACACTGACGATATATAAAAATTTTTTTTATTAGCATTGTTTATTCCTCTGTCCTGAGCAAGAAGAGCAAAAATATAATTGATAAAACAGAAATATGTAAGGTAGATTACGATGAGCAAGAATGTACATACATGTATGTGTTCTAATGTCATATATGTATATTACTCTCTCATCGCATGTAACTAAAATATGAATTTTAATTATATGTGCGATGCTTTTAAATAACTAAAAATATCAATTCAGTTGAATTTAAAATGTATACATTCTAAATTTGAAAACAAAATCATAATACACTTACAATTAAAAACCAGAATAATTTATAATAATATTAAATAAATTTTTTGAGAAATAAAACAACATTAAGAAATTTATTATGTACAACAAAAAAGAAAGGAAAATTTGCATAACTTTGCAAAATTCTCAACACCTTTTCAACTCTCACTACATAATTATATGTAAATAAATAAGTATAGAGACTAAAATAGACTGACTTATGTCTAAAATATACATAACGTATAATTTTAATTTGTACCTGAGGTTAAAGTACTTGTGGAGGTTTTCTTGTTCTTCTTCTTCTTCTTCTTCTTAAATCTTTTTACAGACTTATTTTATTTTTCTTATGAACCTAAAGTTTTAGGTTAATTCTTTATTAAAATGAAAAATATATTTTCTTTTTATTAGAAAGCTTCTATGTCAACATCAAAATTGCAAAATAAAATAGAAAAATAAAATTTTTAATTTTTATTTTTGTTTTCTATAAAGCTAAAAAAATTCTTAACCGATCATTAACTATTTCTTTACATTTCTCTTACGAGTACCTACATAAAATTTTCAACTATCATTTTTGAAATTTTCAGTAGAAAAAACGTATAACAATTACCATATAAATTACAAATATAATAGTGTAAAAAAATAAAAATAACTGAGTTTAATGACTATACACACACTCTTTAAAAAGTAGGTAGGTAATATATACCATATTTATGTATGTTTGTAAAAATATAATGATGACATAGTATATTTATAAATTAAAGTTTATTGAGCGTGTTACAATTTATGCATACCCACAATATTTTATGAATATACTCGTGTATATATATAAGTATTTCGTAAACCTACATACTGATTTAAGTACTTAAATATATGAATATGTTTGTTTGTGTATATGTATATATATATGGTGATATTTCTTTTATTTTTCTATAATCTTACTTAAAATATTATGATGAACCAAGAGCTCAAATAACAGATAACAATCTGTTTTTCTTTTTATCTTTTCCAATTTTGGAAAATATTTATACAATGTACATATTGTGTATGTGTAAATATGTAAGTATGTATGTATATATTTAAAAAGGAAGGAAGATGTAGTGTAGAGAAGAAGGTGTCGGGTCTTAAATAGAAATGAAAAAAAAAGAATTGTATGTTAATTAAAATGATTAAAAAAAAAAGGAAAGAGAAAAATTAAAGCATTTTTCCTTGTATCTTTTTCATTCTTCATTTTTTTTCAAAATCCAACAAAGTTAATTTAATTGGGATTTGTGTGTGACTTTTGATTACAAAAATGTGTTTTATAATTTCTTTTTTTTTTTTTTGGATTTAATTTTAATGCTTTTTATAATAAAGTATATGACTGGAATTTTTTTCAAATGCTATGTGAAAAAATTTAAAAATGTTGGATACTTTTGTTAAAACAAATTGTGACTCTTCACTTTTTGAAATTCAATTGTATAAATTTTAATACTAAATGGAGAAAGTACAATTTAAAGTGCAATTTTATAATTATATTTTCGAAATTAATTCAAAATATTTTAATAAAAATAATTGAAATAGAAATGTTACTAAAGGTTAAATTTAATAAAATATTAAAAATATGACAGATTAAAGGCAAGAATAAAATATAATTTGAATATGAAATTTGCGATTACAAATGCATTTTTAAGAACACTCTTTTATGGAGCTCTTTGATATATTTCTAAATAGTATTTTCCAATATGTAAATATAAGGACAGTGTAAGCCGTCTTCCGTCACGTAAAAAAAACGTACAAATAAAATCTGTCTTCAACCCGAAATTTTATATTGTTTGTGACATTCTGCCTTTCAATGCATCTCAAAAAAATATTTCAGTTTTGAGTTTGATAAATTTCAATCCAGAATCCACCTACATACATTTTTCAATTTAAAATTTGATTTCTATTACTTATTCTGACCCTACAATCTTAGTTTTAGTGCCTTGAAGCAAACAATGGCACTATGTGGGAGAGAAAAATTAAAAATTGTTGATTTGAAATTCTTATTGTAAATAGAATCAGTTTTTAAGCTGTATATGGCAGCTATTGTAAGTATTTAAATAACCACAACCAGATTTGTTGTTATTTATGTACTTATAGCAGTGAAATTATTGACGTTATTTATCAAAGTCATTTATAAAAAATTTAGTATATCTATACTAATTTTATTTTCGTAGAAACATGTGAGAACTAGACGAAAGGCTACATCAATCGAACCCAAATTGAATAGGATTCTTACCACAATTGCAACATATCCTAACTCAATGCGCTATAGAGATGCTGCTGGAACGAACAGACACGTGGACGAACAAATAAACGGGCGGACAAATGGAAAGGCAAATCGGGTCATAGTAATCGGGTCGAAAATATATAACCATGTATTTGTCAATATGTCTAAGATCTACTTCTCAACGTTACAAACGGAGTGATAAATTTATAATGTTCTTCGAACAATCGTTCTTACGGGTATAAAAGAGTTTTTAGTATTTCTAATTTTTTGATTTAAGACTTCGTATTAAGTCATTTTAATTTTTACTGTGTGACATTTATAAAGGCCAAAAAACTTCTATATTTTTTTTTTCAGAAAAATATTTTAAAAAATCTCCCAAAAAAAAAGCAAGTTTGTAAAGTAAAATTTTTTTCAATTACGCGAACACACAAGTTTTAAAATTATAAAAAATTCCAATTAAAATTGCATTTATGGAGTAATTTTTTTAAATGCAATTTATAAATTTTTATTTTTTTTAGTTAGTAATTGAGCTTTTATAAAAATATTCATAACAGTAAAGCAAATTAAAAATTTAGAGTAACAAGAGAATTAAAACTACAAAATGTAAATATATAAAAATATAAAATGTGCATACAATACAAATTCAAAAGGTTGAACCTGTAATTATGCAATTTATTAATATTTATTTCATAGTAAAATAAACATATACATACTTACATACATACATATATATTATTTTAATAATAAATCTTAATATAAAAAATTAAAATTTCAGGCAGCAAATGTAAAATTTTTGTTTATTTTTCTTTTTATACCAAGCAATTAAATAATAGTTAGTCGTTATTATATTGTAAGTGTGTATTAAAAATCACACCGTATATAATATAAATTCCTTTATATAAACATATGTATGTTTGTGTGTTTACATAATATACTATACATTATTACATACTACATTTCACAAGTTACAGAATTAGTCTGATGGTTTTCTCTGTTCATTTTTAATCTCAAGTCAAAATAATTATTTTTGTTTTGAAATTTTTACTTTTTTTTTTTCTATTTAAGCTGCTATAAGGAATGGTGTGTATAGGGTAAGTTTTAATATCATAAAACAAAAATGGAGAAAAAAAATCTTAAACTTCTTCTATACAAAACTCTCACAATAAAATTTAATTATTCATGAAATTTTATGATATACATAAAAGTATCATGCCCAATATGTACACATAAGTCAAATATGTATGTATGCATGTAAAGTATTAACTTAAATCCACAAATAAAACAAGAATAAAAAATAACAAATAAATACAAATAACTCGAGGGAAAATAATAATAAATTTTCATAAAAGAAAAAAGTAACAAAAGAAAAAAAAAAAATTATTGTTAAATGAAAATTTTGTGGAAAAATTCCCATCATAACCGTATATAACGATTAAAGACAACGACAACATAATTTTTATCACATATACATACACACATCGAATATTATTCATATACATTCATACATACATAAATATGAAAACCTAAACTAATTATAATGTTACAAATTAAATATCAGGAAAAAAAAAATAAAAATTTCATTTTCTTTTGGGCCTTCATTTTCAAACAAAAAAAAAATTCCTTCAAAATTTCATCAAGGACGACAAATATTTATACAGTATTGTCAAGGACATCATCAAAATCAAAAACAGAAAAATAAAAAAATCAAACAAAATATTTCGTTTTTTTTTTTAACTTACCTGCCAATTAATTAATAAATATTTCCTAAGGCTCGTTTTACGATCCTCAATTCTTACAAATGCATACATTATTTTACCGGTATTTAAATCTTCTAATAATTCATCTAAACCACCTTCACCACTGCTAACTAATTTCAATTCATTCGTTTGACCTTCATACCCAAATAGTGACCTGAAATAAAAATCAAAAAAAAAAAGAGAAAGAAAATTATTAATAAAAAATATTAACAGCAAATATACATTTTGTAGATTAATATGTGCATATGTATATGTGCATTCACTTTATTTATGCATGTATAATTGAAAAAATTACATTATTGTGTACATAATATATATGTACATATGTATGCATGTGAAAAATTCAATTAATTTTTTATTAAATAAGAAGTAGAGGGGGGGCGTAAGGGTACCAACTCAATTAATTATTAAAAGAAATTTTATTAACCTTTCTTTTTTCTCTTCATTTTGAAAATTTTTATTAAAGCCTTTTGATATTTGATTAATTTTTTTTTCTCTACTTTTATTACGTAAATTGAATAAATAAATAAAAAAAAAAATGCAATTTAAATTTTTTTTATTTGATTTTCAAATCAATTTCAAAATGAAATTTAAATTTTAATCGAATTAAGGGGGGGGGGGGGGGGGTAAAAATTTTTTTTTTTTGTTATTTTTTAGAGAAAGGTGATAATGAAAACAATAATAGTAAAGTGATAGTTATCTGTGATTTTATAATGGTGTGAAGGATTAAGTATACTTATTCCAGTTATTCCAGAGCAAACATTTTGATGCAATAATTGATTTCGGATCATAAATGTAAAAAGTATGTGTGCAACATGTTTATTAATTCCCCCACTTCTTTTAAAGGGTAAAACAAATAGATTTTCAATTTAATAATACAATTATAATTAAAATCAAAAATTTTAGTACCTTTGCTACGTGATCTTTGCTTTGCGTTAGATTTGAAAATTGATGAAAATGAATGAAAATTGTTTATTAACACGATACTTGCATTTCTAAATGTTGTTTACTTTTCATATAAAATTATTTATATGGAAGAAGATCATGGAAGATAAATGTTTGAGTAAAGTTGAGAAATATAAGGCTGTAGAAATAATTACAAATTACGTACAGGCTATCGATTTATGGGTTTGTAAAGTTGTTAATTTCATTTCTATTATTTGAAAAACTGATATTAGCAAGACTTTACGGAAGAAAATGTTAGAACTTGAGTTCTATTAGAATATCTATTCATAATAAAAATTGCATACACTTCGGAGGAATATTAAAACAAGGTAATAAATTTAATGAATTTTGTTTTACGAAAAAAACATACGGAACGACGGATACGTAGCTTATTTGAGAAATGCAATCATTTCAAAATAATCTTCAAATTAACATTTCAAGAAAAATGTAAAATTTGATTCTTAATAGAAAACCATTTAGTATGTTATGACCCCGTTTTCCTACAAAGATTTCCAATGGGAAGTTCATTGGCAACAAGAACTCAAATATCAAATATTAATAAATTTCGTTAATTAACTCCACAAATATGGTGAAAATTCAAGGACTCCTTTAAAAGTTCGATAACAAAGCTTTTGCTCAAAGTTTTTATCAAAGTTTTTATATTCCCTAAAAAAATTACAAGTTCATTGTTTTTAGAATCAGGTTGATGTTAAATTTCAAGGAAATTGGTTGATTATTTTTCCAAAATGTAAATTAAACCGGCTTTTTTCCAACAATTTATACTTCTAGTTTTTGAAGAATTTATTTTGCTTTAGGTTACCCGGAACGGCAAATTTAAAAACTCAAAAATCCAAGCACTTATTTATAATAATTATTGAAACCATTATTTTTTGCTCCCTTTTCCCGGGTGATAAAATTATTGAAATCTTCTTTCCATATCACATGGCTCAATTTCACTTTATCAGAATTTCATTTTGGCAAAATTTAAGCTGGCCCCTCATTTAACTTAAAGGATTGTGGGTAATAAATACTTTTTTTAAATTTCATATGAAATATTTCCGTTGTTTTATTAAATGCTCGTGTTATTTTTGTTGTATGGGGAAGATTTAACAATAAATTTCAAGTTATCAAACATTCATTAAAAAATTTTCTTCAAATTTTAAGATTATTAAAAAGTGTCTACTTTTACTTTGTAATTTTGTTAAATATTTTATTTTTATTAACTGTAGATTTCCATTCAAACTCATTGTATGTACATCTAATTATGAAAAATTTTATTTTACTTTAAAACTAAAGCACAGCTGGTTCCAATTCAATTCAAAAATTTCATATTATTTTCTTAGTTAGAATATTGTGATGACATTTTTATATCAAATTAGGTTTATTCTTATATTTTTTTTAAAATAAAATTCAAATCATTTAAAAAATATAATATCAATTCTTTGTATTTAACATCATAGCTATTATAATTAGAATAAAACTAGAATAGTTCATTCACTTACTTGTATATGAAATGAACATTCCCGTTTAACCTTTTGTAATTTACAGACATTAATAATTTTAACTGTATGACCCCATTGAATTTTTCATTATAATTTCTTAAAAAAAAAAATTGAATAATGTAGAAAAGAAGGTCATTTTTGTTCAAATATAAAAATTTTTTATGCTTTATTTCATATTAAATGATGAAAAATCATTGAAGCCTATAAAAAAGAATAAAAGAAAAATTTCTTGTTCTTATTTAAAAGTTTTTTGTCTTTAATTGTTAAACACGGACAAAAACGTAAACTCTTCTGTTATATGTCAGTGCATTTTTGTTGTATTGCTGTTTTCATAGTCAATTTTGATTGTAACATATTACTTTTCTACTTCATTTGTAATCTAGCTCAAATATTTTCTGAAAATTGGACTAGATTTTTTTTGATTTTCATGAGTAATAATGAACGACTTGTAAACTATTACCCGATACACTGCAAAAAAACTTAATAAATATTCTACAATTGATCTCTTTCTAAATTGTCAAATATAATTTATTTCATGGTAGGTCTTGTGACAGATCTTCAAGTATATGAGTGACTTTAAAGTGAAATCAGTAAAATTTATGATAAATTTATAGCCCTAAAATAGCTGTAATTTAAAAATCTATAGTTGCCTGAAATTATAAAAAATTCATAGAATTTAGCTCTAATGATCAGAAACTTAACATTTTCATAAATTTTCTAAATATAGCAAAATTGATTGAAATATTAAAGAAATCATGTATTTTTGACCATGCGTTAAATTTCAGTGGTGGGCAACTATAATTAAAACTTCAGGCAATAAAAAGATTAAAACGAAGTAGTAAATTTGATTACCACGGCATTAACTTACGCCGCCTCATTTTTAATAATTTTAAATACAAAGGTTTTACATTAAGTTTTTGCCATATTCATAAAAAATTTTGGAATAAACTTGTTATGGAAATCTATATTAATTTTATGAGACTGAATTTTAATTTTGAAGCAAATCTAATATAAAGATTTTATTTCAATCAAATTTTGAATTTTTTAATAATTTCAATTATCCCCCAGCAGATCAGAAGTTCAATGACAAAGTAACCTTAAAACTTAATTGTATGGAAAAGCGAAAATAGTAAAACTTTATTGGGATTAAAAGAATTTTACAATACTTAAATGAAAAACAAATTCTAAAATAAAGATTTTTCCATCTGCTTTACTCATTTAATGTTATTACAATTTTTCATATTTATAGAGATTTATTTTCTTATTTAAATTTCAATTGCATTTGCGTATTTCAAATGAAAATTCTTGAATATCCTTTTGAATTTTTAACTATTCAAATATACAATTTTTGCATCCTTAACAAGTAATTGGTTATCTATGTGATGAGAATAATTTTCTCTAATGAAATTAGGTTTATATACACATGAATTTTATTCCAGTGGTTTCTAACAAATTTCTTGAAAAATTGAATCTTTATGAAAGGGTCTCGTTCTGGTGTTTTTAATTAAAATTTCTTGTCAGCCAGGTGATTCTAAAATTTGCAACTTCGGGAAACCGCTTTGAAATTTTTATGATATAAAGTATTTAGAAAATTTGAGCTACCACCTGGTTTCACAAAAAGTGAAACGGAATAAAGTAGAATGATATTCCGCCATCTTTGATTTTTGAATATTTGTTCCGATATTATAGATTTACGTCAAATTATTACTTGTTCTTTGAAATTTTTTTTTAAATTGCAATTAGAATTAAAGCTTTAAACTTAACCCTTTAGTCGAATTTTTTGTAAACCATTTGCTTATTTAATTAGATTAGTTAATTTTGTTGTTAACTAAATAAGCATTTATTTTACTGCAGTATTTTACATTATAGTTATTAACCATTTGGACCTACTTCAATTGGTATACTATATGTGTAGAAGTAATTGAATAAGTTAATAGATGTAAAGGACTAGATTTGATTGCTTACTCGCTGTATACTTATACCAAATATAATTATATGTTAAGGAGTCTTACGGCATCATTTGCATCGTATGTACATTCAAGATAACTTCATCATATCCTGTACAAATTTACATATTTGCAATACATATGTACATACATTTTATATTTTATACTACATTGCACCAATTGCCAATTATGATAGCATATAACAAAATAAACTGCATGAAACCCTTAATATTAAAAGAATTTAATAAGAATTTTTTTTCTTTCAAATTGTATCATAAAATTTTATGTTATCTAAAGCATTCCAAAGCAGTAATTCTTTTATAAACTATAGTAGATTATGACCTGTCCGAATAAGTAAAAATGTCATATAGCTTATAAGCTTAAGTATTTATTTATGATAAATTTTATGGTACATTTGAAAAATTTGTAAGTTTCATCTAAAAAAAAAAAACAAAAAATCAATATTTTGCAGATTTTTCCTTTATTTGTGCTCCTAAAAAAAAAATTCTGATTTAATTTTATTTTTTTTCAAGTGCTCGTAAATATAAGAATTCCTTAATATAAGAAGAAAAAAATTGTGTGTTTTAATAAAATTTGGAACTTGTTTTAAATTTTGGCATAAAATTTAAAAAGAAGTGGAAGAAAACATCCCACATAATTTCTAATATTTAAAGAGTTCCAGTTTTAAATTGGAACGTTAAAGGCAGAAATTTAAAAATTTAATGTTTCGATAGCAATTCGGTTTTTTTCCCTACTACATA